GTTCACTACATCCATCCTAGTAGTGGGCAACTTCCAAAGAGGGAGCTGACCCCAAGTGTCGGCCTCGAGATCGCCAGGCTTAGGTTATGGCCAAGGGGGTGTCTCCCGCACCGCTCCAGGATGCATCGACCATCGACTTCGTTCCCAGCTGGAAGTCCACATGCCCACCGCCATACGCCCTTTCGCTCGGGCCAGGAGCTGGGGGGACAGAAGGGACGGGGGCGACAGGGGGGATGGGCGACAGGGGGGGACGGGGGATAGGGGTGATCAGGGAGGGAATCGGGGATGGGGATCAGAAACCGGGTAGAGTGGATGGCTGAGGGCTGAGGAAGAGGATCGGGGTGGGGAGGGAGGGGGGTATCGGCTGCTCTGCTGGCCTGCTGGCCTGCGGCCTGCGGCCTGCGGCGGCTGGGTACTTCCACCGCCGGCCAACACACCACTCGCCATGGATCCCACGCAGAGCCAGGGACCGCCACCCACGCAGCCCACACCGCCACAGGAAGCGCCCCTGGTAGAGCCCAGCAGAATAGAGTCACCGCACTTGCTGCCTGTGGCCACTGCCCACGGCGCGGGCTGCGGGCACGCGGACGGGGACGGGGACGGGGACGGGGACGCGGACGGGAACGGGGCCGGGGCCGGGGCGGCCAGCCGGCCGGACGTCATCGTGGCTTCGTACAACGTGCTGGCGCAGGCGCTGGTGCGGAGGAACATCTTTGATTACGCCTCCAAGGCGGCGCTCAAGTGGAAGTCGCGGCGGAAGCGGCTGATGGAGGAGCTGGTGGAGCTGAGCGCGAGCGAGACGACACCGGCGGCAGACACCATCTTCTGCTTCCAGGAGATGGACCACTACGACGACTTTTGGGCCGCCGCCCTCCATGATGAGCTTGGCCTTGTCTCCGAGTACATGCCCAAGCCGGGCAAGGCCGACGGCTCGGCCATCGCCTTCCACCCGGACCGCTGGAACCTTGTTGAGCGCATCGACATCTCGTTTGACGATCTTGCCGAGGTCATGCGCGCAGAAGTCGAGGCCTCGGGCCAGATCGACGCCACCGAGGCTGCCGCCTTTGAGGCCGAGGTTCTCACCCGTCACAACGTCGGCCTCATCGTCGTCCTTGAGCACTCCTCGCGTCCGGACGCCAAGCTTATCGTCTACACCGGTCACTTGTTCTGGAACCCGCGCTATCCGTTCATCAAGCTCGTCCAAGTTGACTACCTTCTCGCTGCCCTTGACGCCGTCGCCGCCCGCTACCCGCCCGACTACACTGTTGTTCTCGCTGGTGACTTTAACCTCACGCCCGACAACACTGTCTTCCGCCTAATGGTCGAGCCCGACGCGGCCCAGCTCATCGACACCATTCCTGGCCGCGCCTTTATGCCGCCTGCGGACCACTTTTCGCCGCGGGCGGCGTCGCTCAACGTTATCAAGTCGATTACCCTCAATGAGATGGCGGCGTCCGGCGCAGACATCCCGCCGCCCGAGGAGCTGCATCCCACCGCAGACGTGCCGCTCCACGTTCGCGACCACCGTGAGCGCAAGGCGCCTGAGCTTCTTAAGAGCCTCGCTGCCTGCCCGCGCCTTGTCGCCCCGTACGGCGCATACTGCCAGGCGTACAAGGCTGCGACCGGGCGCTGCCCCGTCACAGACTACGCCACGCCCGACCTGCGCATCCCGACCAGCTCATTCCCGCTCTACACCACCTTTTGCGGCGACCTCAACCTCTGCCTCGATCACATCCTGCTTTGGCGCCCGCCGTCGCACGGACAAGGCAGCCCGCGCCTCTGCCCGACCCATCTCCTGGCCATTCCGACTGTCGTCGCCCTCAACAGCCAGACTGGCCTCCCCAACGATGAGCGCGGCTCTGACCACGTCCCAATCGCTGTTGGCTTCTCCACCACGCCTTGCACCTGTGGTGCGGCGTATGCAGCTCCGCCGCCGCTGGCCCGCGCCTAACTCGCCGTCTCGGCGTCGTCAACCCCTGCATTTGCCAGCAGCTTGTAGAAGACGTCAAAACCGCGGACGCTCACCCCGAGCTGCTTGGCCCGCGCCGCCACATCTCCTTTGGCACCCACATTGAAGCAAAGCACAGGCGTCGCATCGCCGGCCACCACTGCGTGCTCCAGATCCGTGGGCGTCACGTCGCCCACCCCGTAGTGCACGACGACAATGCCCGCGTTGCGCAGCGCGTCCACCAGCGTCAGCAGAGCCCCACCAGTGTTCGCCTTCACCACAACAGACCGACCGCTCGGGACAGCAAGCTCGTCTTTGGCCCCATCCACGCTCGCGACAGCATCCTCCTCGTCGGCTCCGCTGCCCACCACCTCGCCGGTCTCGATGTTCATCTGCCAGTCGGCGCTCGCCTCGCGGTAGTGCAGCAGAACCTTGGCGTCTTGCGGCGTCACCACGTACAGCGCCTCACCCAGCGGCATGGCATCGTTGATCGAGTCAATGCCGCGGATGCTCGACCGGATCGAGACCATGACCTCCACGCCCTCGCCCGGGCCGGCAGCAGCCAGCGGAACTTGCGTCGCGTCAGTCACATTGAGCACCCGCCCTGAGAGCACCCCACAAACAAACGTGTCGCCCTTCTTGATCTCGCCCTCGGCCACAACCACTCGCAGCACAGAGCCGCGCGCACGCTCGAGCGACGCTTCCACCACCACACCCACTGCAGACGCCTGAACCACAGCATTGACCTCGGCATCGGCGCTGCTTGCAGTCTCGGGCGCTGCCGCGCCCTCGGCAAACGCCGCAAGGTCGCCGACTAGCGACCGCAAACCGCCCCCGGTCTTGGCCGACACCGGATACACTCCGGCAATGCTCAGCTGGGGATTGAGCACGTCCAGTGATCCTGGCGCCGGCGGCAGCGGCGTGTCTGCATCTGGCAGCGGAGCAAAAGGCTCAAAGGCGTGCAGCTGGTCAAGCAGTCCGGCAATCGCGCCGCGCGCCGCCTCGCCCGAGCCCAGCATGTCCATCTTGTTGGCGACGACAAACACCGGGAGCTTCTCCACCGCCGCTGCCGTCAGCACCTCCAGCGTTTGCTCACCCATGCCTTGGGTGGCGTCAACAACAAGAACCATAGCATCAAGGGCGAGGACTGAGTGCTCACGCATGTGGAAGAACGCCGCGTGGCCGGGCGTATCCACCACCGTCAGCGGCACGTGGCTCCCCGCCGCCAGCGCCGCCTGCTCCTGAGCGCGGGCTGCTTCCACTCGCTTCCGCCATGCCACCTTGCGCTCAGCACGTTCAGCCTTGCTCGGGGTGCGGTACGAGCCAGCGCGGACCGAGTGATCGCTGCGGTAGCTGGCGTCTGGCCCATCGATCTCCGGCGGGCCGAGCGGCGCAAGCACATCGCCCTCGCCATCCCGCGGAAGCAGCAGCCGTAGCGTTCGCAGCGACTGGGTGATGCCTCCGGGCTCGCGGCCGGCCTCATCCGAGCCGGCCAGTGCGTCCCACAGGGTGGTCTTGCCATGATCGACGTGACCCATGAGGGCAACGACCGGAACGCGGGCCAGCGATTCGGAGGCCAGCCATGCGGGGCGGTGCCCAGCCGAGCCAGCAGCCGGCGGAACCGGGCCGAGTTCCAGCGGGATCGGATGGTAGCCAAAGGCAGCAGCGAGCTCGGCAGCTGAGGCGTAGTCGATGACCACCGCCCGGAGCGAGGGCGCCACCACGGCCACCTCGCGGCCCTCGACACGCTGGGTGTAGTGGTACTTGCGCCCGCGCTTCCGGGCCACAGCAACCGCCACCTTCTTGGCCGGCACCCGCAGCAGCTTGGCCAGCTCCCGGACACGGATGTGCGGCGGGAGGGCCACCGGCTTGCCCTCGGAGGCGGCCGGGGGGGCGGCGAGGGCTCGCCGGGCAGGAGAGGCCAGGGCGCGGGCCCAGGGCCGGACAGGAGGGCCGGCACGGCGGAAGGCGAGGCGGAGCATGGGGCAAGTGGAGTGGCGGAGTAGGAGCGTCGGCGGTGGTGCCGGTGGCACTGGCGGTGTGTGTGTGGGGGTGCACCCCGTGGCCTGGCGACGGATGGGGGTGGCCGGCCGGCCGGACGAGTGAGGCATTCGGGGGGGTACGGCCAAGGGGGATCGCCATCATCCACGACAGCGGCATCGATATGGGCCCAGCGGGGGGAGAGGGGGATACAGTACCACCGCGCCCTTTCCCCTGATCCTGTCCTTTGGTCTGGATGGGGAGCGCGCGCGCCTGTATAGGGCCGGCTGCTTGGGCGAGAGCCCGACGGGGTGGGCGGGCGGGCGGACGCGGCACTCGACTGCGATCCCTCTGCCGGGCATGCTGCGGATGGCTGTGGCGCGGATGGCGGGGTGCGGGCAGAGAGCCGCGGCCGGGGCAGGCGCAGCGGTGTGGCAGGGTGTGCGGAGGATGGAGAGCGGGGCGGCGGGACCTGTGGCGCAGGAGGTGCTTGCTGCGGTCGACAAGAGCGTGTGCAACATCCCCGGTACGGGCGGGAGGAGGGAGGAGGGGAGACGGGGGGAGGGCGAGTGGGGGGGGGGGGGGGAAGCATAGTGGGACTGACACGGGGCGGATGGATGGGCGTGCGGGCAGACAACGTGCTGGCCAAGGTGGATGCCAAGCTGCACAACGCAGGCTTCCATCCGATTGCGACGATCAAGGAGCGGATTGTGGCGGCGCTGCCGGCGGAGACGGTGGTGGTCGATGCGCTGTCGCCAGTGGTGTCGACGGCGGCCAACTTTGACTCGCTCGGCTTTCCGGCCGATCATGTGTCGCGGTCAAAGTCGGACACGTACTACATCAACAGCGAGACGGTGCTGCGGACACACACGTCTGCCCACCAGGTTGAGCTGATGCGTGCCGGGCATCGGCAGTACGCGGTGTTTGGCGATGTGTACCGGCGCGATGAGATCGATGCCTCGCACTACCCGGTCTTCCATCAGGCCGAGGGCGTGCAGCTGTTTGATAAGGAGCAACTGGCAGCGACGCACGATCTCGGCTCGGAGGCGGCAATCGGGGCGTGGCTCGAGGCCGATCTCAAGGGCTCGCTACTCAAGGTTGTCGAGTCGGTCTTCCCGGGCGAGCTCGAGGTGCGGTGGAACGAGGACTACTTCCCGTTCACCCATCCGTCATGGGAGCTGGAAGTGCTGTACAATGACGCGTGGCTGGAGACGCTCGGGTGCGGGATCATCCACCCGGACGTGCTCACCCGCGGGCTCGGCGCTGACGCCGCCAAGCGGTCTGTGGGCTGGGCATACGGCCTCGGCCTCGATCGGCTGGCCATGATCCTGTTCAACATTCCGGACGTGCGGCTGTTCTGGTCGACCGACGAGCGGTTCCACAACCAGTTCACCTCGCGCGAGCTCGTCCAGTTCAAGCCGTACTCCAAATACCCGCCCTCGTACCGCGACGTCTCGTTCTGGCTCCCGGCAGGCGACGGTGCGTACCACGTCAACGACTTTTATGAGCTTGCGCGGACCATCGGCGGCGACCTCATCGAGGACGTGGCCCTCATCGACGAGTTCACCCATCCCAAGACCGGCCTTGTCTCGCACTGCTTCCGCATCAACTACCGCTCGCACGACGAGACGCTCACCAACGAGTTTGTCGACTCGCTCCAGCACAAGCTCCGCATTGCCGTCGTCGCCGATCTTGGCGTCGAGCTGCGCTGATCGGCACCTGCACCATCGCCATCGCACACTCTCGTCGTAAACATGGCTCGATCCGGCGCTTGGCGCGGTGGCGGGCGGCACCTGTCGCCGACATGGCAGGCCGCAGCAGACGGCGGCAGCGGGGCGGCGGGCGGGCTGCGGGGGGAAGGGGCGGTGGCGGGGAAGGCTGCTGCGGCGGCGGGGCGAGGCGGCGGCAGCAGCGGCGGCAGCGGCGGAAGCGCAATGTGACTGATGTCGGGCAGGTTGGGCGGGTCGAGGGCACTGCGCTGGCGGTCGCGTGGGTCTCGCGTGGCGTCACCTCGGTCACCTACTCGTCGTCACCGGAGCCGTCCACGCCCGACTCGTCGTCCACGCCGGACTCGTCATCGGAGCTCGACTCGTCGTCGACCGGATCAGCCGCACGTCGGTGCCACCGCAGGCTATCGGTGTATGATGCGCTGGCAGCCGGCGCCGAGAGCAGGTGCAGCTCGGACTATGATTGCGATGCATCGCCGCCAATGCATGCCGAGTTCAAGCTGAGCCGCCGCCGCCACCTGCACCACAGCTGCACGCCGCCGCCGGCGTCTGCGCACCGTCGCGCGGTCCGGGCTGAAGACTACGTCGACCGCACCGAAGACGAATCGAACGAGCGCCCGCGTGCGTCAGCATCAGCCAAGAGGCGGCCCGGCCGACGAAAGCGGCTTCCCTCGCCGCCGATGGCGTCGCTGGCCGATGCCCTCCATCGCAGCGCGTACTTCTCCACGTATGTGTAGCCCGAGCGCTACGGAGCGGTCACCTGGCGCCGGTGGTTGCGCGGCATGACTCGTCGTGCTGCAGTGCGCTGATCTCCCTGCGCTGATCTCCCCGCGTGACGTGCGCATGAGTCGATCGGCCTGCCGCTGCCCGTGCTGTGTACGAGGCGTGCCTTGTCCCGGCGAATGAAGGCAGGCTCGGTTGTCGGTGGGCGGGCGGGCGGTGTGGGGCAGAGGCCGCAGCGTGGTACCACCTCCCTCTCCCACAGAATGCGAGTGGCGACATGGCTGGCGGCGGTGGTGTGGCTGGCGGCGGTGGTGTGTGTGGCGCCGGGCGAGGGTCTGCGCGAGGGCGACCGGGTGAGCATGCTGGTGCGCAGCAAGGTGGGCACGGTACGCGGGGAGGGGGTTGGGGTTGGGGGGGAGGGGGGAGGAGGAGGGCAGGGAGGGGTACTCATTGTGGGGGTGCGAGTATCGGCATGGGATGGACACGGATATGAACATGGTATGGGTACGGATATGGGTACGGATATGGGTACGGATATGGGTACGGATATGGGTACGGATATGGGTACGGATTTGGGTACGGACACGGACACGGACACGGACACGGACACGGACACGGACACGGACACGGACACGGACACGGACACGGACACGGACACGGACACGGACACGGACACGGACACGGACACGGACACGGACACGGACAGCGCGAGAGCCACTGGACCGAGGTCATCCACGACCACACACCGCTGTTTGGCGTCGAGCGATCGGTCAAGCTGTCGGCGCTGTCACTGCTGCCGACTGCCACTGGCGGCAAGCCGTACAAGATGGCGTTCCTGTTTGGCGGCGGTGAGACATATGGGGCGGCGCCGCAGGCCACACAGTGGCTGACGCTGTCGGACGGCCGTGGGCATCGCGCCGCCTTTGTCACCTTTTCGTTCAACGTGGTCGACGGCCGCATCGCCGGCGTGGTCGCCGACGTTGACTACCACGCTGCTGGCTGGTCGCCGCCAGCCGACGACGACGCCCATAGCGTCGGCTCGGTCCTCTTCCACTACCGCTGGATCAAGTCGTCGGCAGAGTCACCGACCCGGGCCTTGGGCGTGGTGAGCCTGCTCTCGTTTGTCTCGTCGCTGGGCATGATCCTCGTCGCTGGCCACACATTGATGTCACCGACGGCCGAGTCGGCCCCGGCCGCGACTTCGTTACCGCGCAAGAGTGAGTAGCTTCCACTTTACCACGCTGTCTTGGTATCCATGGCCTCCAGCTCGCTCTGTAGCTGTGCGTCGCGTGCGGCGAGGAACTCGATCCTGTCCGCGAGCGGGAGTGCGTCGAGCTCGCCGCTGATCTGGGCCTGCGCCAGCAGCGGCGTCACGTACGTGTACGCTGGAAGCCGCGGCTGATGAAGCCGGTTGCGCAAAGTCTTGAGCGTCTCCATCAAGGCTGGGCGCGCGGTGACGACCGAGCTCGAGCCAGCCAGGCCAACCATCTCGTCCAGGACCTGGCAGCGGTCGACTCGTGCCTCGGACTCGGCCACCGCCAGCGCCTCCCACTCGGCCACCTCGCTGTTGTGGAGGCCGGCAAGTTCCTCAAACAGCTTTGCCTGCTCAGCCTCTAGCATGGCAGCAAACGACTCGAGCTGCGCGACCTCGGCGGCAGCATCAAGCGACGGCGACGGCTCGTCGGCCGTCCAGCGGGTCTGCGGCTTCTTCAGTGGGTGTGCCGCTTGGCTCGCCCGCAGCGATGCCCGCTGCGACTTGAGACTGGCCCGCAGCTCACGCAGCGGGGACGCGCTTGGCTGCGGCTTGCTGGCAATGCGCGTGTCGACCATGTCACGAAGCCGCTCACGCGGTGGCGGCGGCTGGCCCGGTGTTGGGCTCGGCATTCGCCGCCCGCTTAGGTTACGGACGACTTGTTGTGGCTGGCCCGGCGCCGACGCCGGGCGTGAGCGCAACTCGCGCAGCGACCCCGCCAGGTCGACTTGTGTCAGCGGCGCGTCCTGCGGCGCGTCGCCCAGCGCGACACGGTCACCGGCGCGGATCCGGTTCGGTGTCTCGGGTGCAGTTGCCGGTAGGCTGTAGTGAACCATGTTGACCGAGGCTGGGCCGAGCTGGGCCCGTTCACGGGGGCGGATGGCCGAAGGAGATAGGCCGCAACGCTCGCGAACCCGCTCGCGGTTATCAAGCACCGCTACGGCATTGTGGGCTGCGGCCTCGGCCTCCCGCGCCAGTCGCGAGACTGCTGCGGCCGCAGCCTGCGCAGGCCCAAACGCGTCCGGCCCGTTCACCGGGCCGGGCTTTGCGGCGGCGCCGCTCGGCACCGCGATGGGGTCGGCGGCAAAGCGGACCTTGCGCGCAGACCGACCCGAGATGCCCAGCAACTCGCCCTTGGGCGGCGCCAACGACGGCGGCTGCGCCGGGTTGGGCGGGCGGGCGACCGGTGACGACCGGCGGGCGTCGGGGCCGAGTGAAGCGCGCCCGGCCCACGCTGCGTGGTCTGCCGGCTGGCGCGTCCGTCCAGGCGACGTTCGGCTGGCACGGAGCGCCTGCGGTGCATGTGTGCCGGCCTGAGGCTCGCCGCCGACATCAAAGACACGGGCCGAGCGGACAGCCTCGTCGAGTGTGTGTGTCGCGCGGGGATCAAGGACCGAGGCGTGCGGGCGCGGCGCGGTCTCGGGCTGCGCAAACGAGACCCAGTGGGGGAGCGTCGACGGATGGCGGCTCGGTGAGCGTGTGGCGGCCGGCACGTCCAGGTCGCGCAGCCGCAGCGGAGCCAAATCCTTGAGTTTGAGCTTCTTGCGTGGCTCGCGGCGAAGCAGCGACGAGGCCTCGCCGGCCTTGGCCGCGTCCAGCGCACGTTGGGTCCGATCGGCCACGTGCTGCACATACTTTTGGAGACGGACTGTGCCAAGTTTGCCAAAGTGGGCGGCCGGCGCGTCAGGTGCCGGCTTCGCGCCCAGCGGCGGCGCCACCCGCGGAGGAAGCGCTCCGCCGTTGGTTGCCGGCGCCGGCTCGGCCGACGCCAGCCGCGAGTACAGCGTGCCCATACGCGAGCGCTCCGCCAGCAGCGCGGCCTTGAGCCTTTCTTCGTGCGAGTTGCCGCCGCCAGCGCTGCTGGTACTGTCGCTGCGCCGTGCCCGCACGCCTGCCAGCGTCTGGGTCGTGGCGCGGTACTTGTGCGGCGCGGAGAGCGAGGGGCCGAGGCTGGCGGCGCCCGGCGCAGGCGCGGAGAGCGGCGGCACGTGCTGGGTGTCGGCCACGGGGCGGGCGGTCGAGCCTGTGGGCGGAACGTAGCCCTTAGCCGCTACCCGCCCGCCCTTGGCCGCTACTGCGTGTGGCTTGCTTGCGGGAATCGCCCGCTGGCCGGCCGCAAGCATGAGTTTGGGAGAGCGCGCCAAAATGGGGTCGAGTGCTGGCGCGAGAGTTAGCCGGCAGCCGGCGGCCGCGCAGGGGCTTCGGCGAAGCTTGATACAGCACAGCGGATATGAGGATCGGGCAGGATGGAGATGTGTCAAAGGGAAAGTGCAGTTGAATATCGCGTGTCGTTGCCCTGATGAACGACAGTACGTGGCGGACTCGTAGCGCGGGCGGCCCGACAACATGTTTTTTGTGTTGTTTGAGTGCTATAAAGCAGCTAGAGCGTATCAAAAGGAAGGATGAGGGTCTTAAGCATGCGTACCAAATGTAGGATGGGGTGGTAAGAGAGTGAGGCTTTGCGATGGGTGCCTCAGGCCGTGACGTCGGCCGAGCACTCGACCTCCACGATGTACAAGCAAAATATGTAAAACAAATGCATTTTTGACTGTAAATATATGAATATAATTGAACAAAAGCAAATATTGATAAATACATAAATTGAACAATTTTATGATAACTTTACAATTATAGATATTTATATATTTAATAGCCAATACACGTATGCCATGTGTGGGTCGAAATCGAAAGTTGTTCTTTTGTCAGCTCTTGCTCGTGGCAGACTTGGGGCCAGTCGTCTACCCCTACAGCCACCCCGTCGAACTACTGCGCTCCTGAGAACGTTCTCAGACCGTTCATATCGTGGACGTCTCGGGACACACTCGGGCGTCCAGGGAAGCCCCTTAAAATCGTCCTCGGACCGTCCTGGGAGCGCTATGCCGAAAGCGTGATGATGATCTTTGCCCTCGCTCGCTCGTGGCGGAGCCAACGACGCTGCGCCAGGTCGCGGTCAGGGCTGACGCAGCAACAAGCGACACACGCCTCGCAGACTTTGACAAGCAATGACTTCACAGGCGCAGGCGCAGGAGCTCGAGGACGAGCTTGTGAGCAACGCGGGCGTGGCGCTCATGGCCATTGCGCCGCTACTGACCCTGAACATCGTGTCCGAGCCGACGGTGGCCACCCACCTCCTCGCCTCGCCGCGGTTTGTCGACGCCCTGCTCCCGCTCTGCTGCCCACCTGCCGCCGCCGACCCGTCCGCCACCTCGGCTGTCGACGACCGCTCTGCGCGCATGGCTATGGAGCGTGCCTTGGGTGTGTTGGCGCACCTGGTACGCGACCAGCACCCTTGTCGTCCCCCTCCCTCCCCGCTCTGCTGCGCCACCCCCAACCACTCACCCCGCCCCAACCCCTCGCTGCAGATGGAGCTGGCCGAGCCGCGCAAGGTTGCGGCTGCCTTTGCCGGGCGCGGCCTGGTTGACGCCGTCAAGGGCGTCCTTGCTGCCGAGGACGACTCCGCCGGCGACATTGCGCAGTCTGCTCAGGCCGTTTTGCGCCAATGGGACGTTGTCCGCGCTGCCGTGGCTGATGCCGATGCCGCTGCCGATGCGCGGGCAAAGGTGAAGGTTGAGGCTGCCAAGGCCAAGGCTGAGGCTGAGGCTGAGGCTGCTGCTCAGGCCAAGGCTGAGGCTGAGGCTGAGGCTGAGGCTGCTGCTCAGGCCAAGGCTGAGGCTGAGGCTGAGGCTGAGGCTGCTGCTGAGGCTGCTGCTGAGGCTGAGGCTGCTGCTCAGGCCAAGGCCAAGGCTGAGGCTGAGGCTGAGGCTGCTGCTGAGGCTGAGGCTGCTGCTCAGGCCAAGGCCAAGGCTGAGGCTGAGGCTGAGGCTGCTGCTCAGGCCAAGGCCAAGGCTGAGGCTGAGGCTGAGGCTGCTGCTCAGGCCAAGGCCAAGGCTGAGGTTGAGCCCGAAGCTGAAGCTACTGCTACGGCCAAGTCTCAGGATGGCGAGGCCGAGGCTGCCGAGGCCGAGGCCGAGGCCGAGACCGAGGCTGCGGCTGACCTACCGGCCGCGGCTGAGGCTGAGGCCGAGGTCCGGACCGACACCGTTGCCAAGACCGAGACCGGGCCTGACAGGAGCGAGGCAGCCGACGCCGCAACGAATGTTGTGGTCGAGTCTGCTATGGACAAGTGGATGAACGACGGGTCGGTTGCACCCGAGATGGCGACCCCCCTCAACGCCGCTGCCGATGCCGTTCTCAGCCGCAAGGCCAAGGCCGTGGCCGATGGCGAGGCAGCTGCAGCTGCTAGCACTCCTTTGTCCGAACCACCGGCACCAAAGGCCGGCCGAAGCAGGAGAGGCCGAAGGGGCAGGGGCAAGAAGAACAGCAAGGGTGGCCAGGGCAAGAAAAGCAACAAGGGGCCTGGCAAGAGCACTGAGGGCGGCCAGAACAAGAACAAGAGCAAGAACAAGAACAACAAGGACAACAACAACAACAACAACAACAACAACAACAACAACAACAACAACAAGAACAACAAGAACAACAACAAGAACAACAAGAACAAGAACAACAAGAACAACAAGAACAACAACAACAACAAGAACAAGAACAACAAGAACAACAACAACAGCAACAACAGCAACAACAACAACAAGGACGGCCAGAGCAAAAACGCCGCTTCCGCCCGCCAGAAAGCCTCGCAGCAGCGGAAGGCCACAACGAGCGCAAAGCCCAAAACCAAGCCGCAGGGCTCAGGCAAAGACACGTCGACGCCGGACAAGCGCAACGGCAAGAGCCCGTCCTCGAAGCAGAACAACCGGTCGCGTGGCAAGGTTAACAACAGGCGCCGTGGTCAGCAGCGCAAGGACGCCACAAACGGTCCGGTCAAGCCGTCTGGCACCAATCAGCCGCGGTCCCGGACCCAGTCTCGACAGAGCGCCCGTGACGGCCGCAAGGCCAAGGCCTCAAACAACAACACCAGCGGCCGCAACACTCGCCGCGACGCTGCCAAATCGACCACCACACCGCATCGCGCCCTGCTTGGTGCCGCCGCCACGGGGCGCACGCCCGTGCCAACCAAGCCCAGGTCCAAAGCCAAGCAAACCAAGACCAAGCCGCCGGCCAAGCCCAAGGAGCCACCGGCACCGGCCCGCTGGTCCAACCACTAAAGACGCCATCGTTACTTTAACGAGAATCAAGCCGCCGCTGCGTCGAGCGCGTCGAGGTACGCCCGCAGGTACCGCGTCCCGCGCACCTTTTTCAGCCGGGGGAGGAGGAGCGACGGGGTGTAGGCAAACGCCGTGTTGATCTTGCGGTTCCAGATGAAGACCGCTCCCCCAGCACCGGCCCAACCCTCCCAGTCGGGCAGGCCGTAAAGGGCAAAGCGATCCATGCCCCACCCGGCCGCCGAGTAAGAGATGTTCCGCCAAAAGCCCTCGTCAAAGCGCGGGGCGTCGTCGCGGACGGCGTTGGCAGCGGCGAGGCCGGCCGGCGAGAGCAGCGGCGCACCGCCACCCGCCAGCACCGACCCGATCTTGGCCAGCGCTCTCGCGTGAGTCACTCCCGCCGCCGACGTCAGGCCCCGCGCGCGGAACTCGGGCGAGTTAGCCATGTCCGCCGCCGACTTGAGCCGCTCGCCGGCAGAGTCGGCGATGGTGATCGAGCGCGCCGCTGTCGATGACGGCGAAAGCACGATGCTTGCCATAAAGTCGGCTTCAAACCCGTCGAGAACTGTGTCGTCCGAGTACAATGCACGCGCCAGCCCGCGCGGCAGAAAGAGCTGCGGCAGGTAGGTGCCGGCGAGCGTGAGAATGTGCGGCGGAATGTGCGTGACGACGCGGGCATCGAGGGTGGGCGTGAGGCCGCCGGGCCCGTCGCCGATGGCCAGCTCACCAACCAGGCCGAGCGGTGCGGCAATCTCCTCCTGCACAAAGTGCGCGAGCGAGCGGCCGTGTGGGTCGGCGCGGCGGACGATCTCGTCCACAAACAGGCCGCGGGTGATGGCGTGGTAGAAGGTGCGCTCGCCCGGCGCGGACATCGGCATCTGGACGGCAAGCGTCTCGGCTAGCGCAGTACGCTCGGAATCAGAGCTCGCGGAGAGCCAGCCGAGCGAGAGGGTGCGGTCGAGGGCCGGCAGGCCGAGCTCGTGGCGCATGAGGTGGGCGAGGGTGGCCGAGCCATTGCCGGGGGCAAAGCCCGGCCAGACGTCGGTGATGGGCGCGTCATAGTCGAGGAAGCCGCGGTCGGCAAGGATGGCGACAGCCAGCGACTCCAGGACCTTGGTGCAGGAGAAGACGACAAAGAGGTCGTCGTCGGGCGCGTCGTCGCCCGTCGCCGCCGCCGCCCCGCCCGACACCGCCCGCACGTCCACCACCAACTCGCCGTCGGCATAGACCGCCACCCGCGCCGCCGCCTCGCCGTTGCCCGCCACCGCCGCCCGCACCGCCGCCGCCACCGCTCCCGCCGCCGCCCGCTGCGCCGCCCCCGCCGCCGCGCCCACAGTCACCGCCACCTGCGCCCCGCCGCCGCCGCCGCACACCGCCGCATGCACAGGCGCCAGCGGCGCCAGCGCCACGCAGTGCGCCGGGTCCAGCGGCGGCGCCACCGACAGCGCCACCAGCGCATACACCGCCGCCGCAACCACCGCCATCACAAGCTGCATCCACACACCCATCGTCGGCTGGGCGCTGGAGAGTCGGGTGGCAGCCGGCTCCCCGCGTGCCGCCTGCGCCCCGCCCGGGCGACGGATGCCGTACCATGCCGCCGGTGCTTTACCAAAATCATCCTCACACCAGCCCAGGACGGAC